TTTACTATATTGGCGAGATACTTTTATACGGAGCATATAAGACAATAGAGAAATATCTAGGAATACACTAAAAACAATACGCACAATGAGGTATCTTGATGTGTTTCGTAAACAGTTTATAAATGGAATTAATTATGTCACTCCAAAATATTGACTATTCTCTGGCATTTTCAAACAAAATTCTTAGTTTATGCATTGTTTTGATTAAATTAAATTTCATCCACTTAACAATTTATCCATTAATTTGATTTCTTTGAAATTTCTCTTTTCGACAAATTTATTTTTATGAAAGTAATATCTAATAAATAAAAAAGCATAGTGCCTTTAATATACATGGAAAATCTAAAATAAACAAAAAAATAAACATTTGAAATTGTTAATTATGGTAAATAAATTCTACATAAACAGAAAAACTAAAAAAAAGAAGCAAAGCAAATAAATTGGGGATCACCAATTTAAATTACAGTTGAATGATAGAGGGTAATTTTGTCTTTTTTGGTGAAAATTGGGTGGATTTAGTCATATAGTGGTGAAATTAGCGCCGCCTTTAAATATAATTTATTTTCTATTTGAAGCATTCAATTTGAAATTTAGATTCACGAGATTACCAGTAGAAAATGGCTTCTTTGCAAGAAAATTTGCTTTCTAACCGTTTTTTATAATCTCAACTGAACTATTACACATTCTTCTTTGCCCGTACCTATTACACATGTCACATCACCCAAAACTTCCAGGGAAATTATTCAAAAGGAGACCAGAAAATTAAGCTCCTGAATTATTAAAATATTTAAATATTAAATTTTGAGCTTAAATTTTTAGAACAGTAGATAGGATTTCATTTAACAACTTAAATTGTTAAAGTATTGACGGTAATCCCATAAAATGTTGCACAAATATCAAGATGTTGTAGCAACGTCAAAAGGGCAATGTTGAATAAGTTCGCTTTCGCGCTTTATGTTCTCATTAGAGATGACAAAAGCGTGTTTGTAATGTGTCGATCGGCAATTATCCTTTCATTTCGCGTTTGCTTTGACCGGTGCTCCTACGTCTTTTCATTCAACTTTGGGATGGATACATAGGTACGTGCATCCCTTTCTGTCCTTTGTTTTATTCGAATTAATAAATTAATTTTTGCATATCCTTTTTTACTAAAAGTTTACTTGCTCTTCTCAATGTAATAACAATACCCTTATTCACTGATTGTCATTGTTTTTTTTCTTTTTGCATATGCATCATATCGTTTTCAATTTTATAAAAACATATGCTCTCCATTGTCCAGTGTCAAAATATTGCTTGAGAATCGGGAGCTACGTAGGCGACTTACAAGAGCACTCTTGATGATTAAAAAAAAGTTTTGAATTATTGGGACAAAAGGGTATATAGCATCTAATTTGGGTCACTAAAGCTCACTCTTCATGTCATTTTATTGTTGCGATACTTAACTACATGTTTGATGTTGTTATATCAACATTCCAAATTCTAAGAATAAGGCCCGACTTGATTTGAGTATGACTGATACGCTATATGAATTTGTTGCGTGCCTTGACATAGTAGTCTATGTACGTAATTCATAACCATTCAGTCTTGTTGTGCTTCCCAATTTTTCTCATGATTTTGTCGCATTCTTGGCTATGTTAAGGTCACTCGTCTCATGAAATTCATCATTCTTCTTGCTCACATGTCAAGTTGCATGCGTACTCGGACACTGATGGAGCGGTAAATGTTGAATAAGCCGACAGTACTCCACGTCATCATTTGTTTATATCTCAAGACAATTCTCTAATATCCTAGCATGACAAGAAGCAAATGTTGATGCAGAGTATCCTTATTGCTCACCCGGCCCAATGCCATTAGAGACTGATGGGCAAAACGTTATCTATTTTTTCTTCGCCTTTTGACTGGTGCTCCCGACGTCTTTTCATGCACAACTCTGGAATGGAGACATACGTACGTTTACACCATTCTATCTTTTGTTTTATTCGAATTAATTAATTGTTTTTTTTTTTGCGGGGAACTGGCCTTTTGAGTTCTCTTTCTTTTGCTTACTCGGAGTTTATGAATCCGGTGAATTTTTTGCCGTGAATTTTACATTCAATTGAGATGTTTTTTTTTATAAAAACTATGAATTTTTTTGGTTTAATCCAAGATGAAAAATACCTAAGTGTGTGAACAATTAAAACTCTGTGATTCTCCAATTATTAATGGATTATTTATGGCTCTTCCCATGAAGTAGGTCTAACATCATGTAAATCAATTATATTATTTATTGTTTCTTATTTATTTATTGTTCCTCATTTATTTCTCGGTGATTTCGCATCGGTTTAATTGTAAGATCCGATATTCTTTGCAATATATTACAATAGAAAGAATAGTGTTAAAGCCCAGTTAGTGTTCCTGCTATCCTCTTCTGCGCAATTTTCCTCTTGAGCTTCTTGCTTCTCAATCCCAGGTAGCCGGATATCCTCAATATCCGTTTCCTGCAAACCTTCTTCTCTCTGTACCCCAACTGGTCACTTGTAGCGGTGTCGACAAACAACAGCCCGAATCGAAATCCGACCTGACCTGTTGACACCCTTAGTCACATGGTTGGATACCGAGATCTTGCCATTCCATGACCCAAAACCTCCCTTCTATTGTCCATCGTAATTACTGTCTTCACCTTTTGAACGTAGGTTTCAGATTATGTTATTCTAATGTCTTATTTTGATGGATCTACTTTAAGGCTTACAGAATGACTGATCCATAATATGATGGGTTTAATTCGAAAAAAAAAGGCACCAATTTTACCTTGAGTGACAATTTTAACCCGAAATTTTTTGTCTCATAAAAAATCACCAACTTTCGCATAACTCCCAAATATGGCCCGAACAATTTGAAAATGTCACATCATGGAAGCCAGATTTGGGACTCGAGTAAAATTTGGTGTTTTTTTTTTGGAATTAGCCCTAATATGATGGAAAACAAAGTCGGTATGTAGGTAATATTTTCTCTTGGTACAATTTGAACTGTACTTTGGACAAGCGTGGATGATCGGTGATCTAAATGAAATAGAGCATGAAACAAGGCCTGCCCTATGAAACTAGCACGTTGGGCCTCATTTTGTAAAACTTTCGGGCTTAATTCAGGAAGTATTTTGGAGTATTATATGAAGTTGGGAGAGGCCTATCAAACCTCTTATATGCACTTCATCTGATCTGCCTATCAGATGGGCCGAAATAAAAAAAAAGGAGAACATAAATAAAGAAGGGAAAAAACCATCAAAAATCCCAAACTATGTTTGTTGTAACACATTTACTCCAAACTTGTACCAGTGCGACATATTTACCCTCTATCAAGATTCCGTCAATGAACTCAGTTAAAAATCTGCATATATGGATGCCAATAAGCAAACGATGTTGACACGACGTCCATGTGGCTTAAGTTAAAGGATTAATACCATGAAAAACCCAAAACTGATACACTTATAACAAATTTACCTTAAACTAATTTTTTGATCACGTAAAACCCCAAACTGGTACTTCCATGACAAATTTATCCTAAATTAATTTTTTAATCACAAAAAATGCCAAACCGGTACAAGTGTGACAAATTTGCCCCATACTAATTTTTTACCATCAATTACCCCAAACTAGTACACTTGTGGCAAATTTACCTTTCGTTAGCTTCCGTCAAATTTTACCGTTAAATTTGTTGACGTGGATGACACATTGTGACGTGGCAAATCCACGTGGAAATCCATAGGGGAAATACCATGAAAAACCCCAATTTTGGTCCGCTAACGGAGGGTAAATTTGTCACAGGATTACCAGTTTGGAGTTTTTGTTGGTCAAAAAGTTAGTTTGTGGTAAATTTATCGCACATGTACCAGTTTGGGGTTTTTTGTGGTCAAAAAATTAGTTTGGGGTAAATTTGTCACAGGTGTACCAATTTGGGATTTTTGTGGTCAAAAAACTAGTTTGTGGTAAATTTGTCTCAGGTGTATTAGTTTAGGTTTTTCCTAGTCAAAAAATTAATTTGAGGTAAATTTGTCACAAGTGTACCGGTTTGAGGTTTTTCACGGTATTAACCCTAAGTTAAATAAAAGCAATGTTGTTTTGGCTCAAAACATCATTTGACAAAACATTGACGGAAGGTAAATGTGTTACATATGCAAAAGTTTGAGGTTTTTAATGTCATAAGAAAAAAATTTAGAGTAATTGTGTCAGAATAGGCATAGTTTGGGGTTTTTAATGTTATAAAATAAAGTTTAGGGTAAATATGTCACAGTGGATATAGTTTGAGGTTTTTTGTAGCTTTTTTGCAATAAAGAATTGTGTTAAGTGATGCGATAAGCTATTACTTGATGCGTAAAACACGAACGATTTATTTAAAACCCCATTTATAACGTGCCACGTTAGTCAATATGCCAGTTTTGTAGATCGGCATTCATCTAGCATTAGTCGAGAGAAAAACTTTTCGATAGACGATAATGAATTTGGAATCTCAAAAATGATAAATGTACCTTAAGTTTCCGACTACATTTTGTTTACTGAGTGAATAAACATAGTCTGATTGAGCATTTAAATGAGACAATCATCCCGTGCAGAGGCTCCACATGTTTAAACATCTAGTGAGATCTTGTCAAGTCATTTCGTAAGCGAAATATAAGGAGAAGTCCTTGGTATTTTTAATGTTGCTGTTTCCACTTAGGGGTAGTTAGTTTGATCTTTGGTGATCCGTCGAAGCAGCTCTATATGGTGTGGCAAAACATGTAATGTACAACCTAGAATTTTCACATATGATTCCATGAATCGTGACATACTCTAATTACTAAAAATCGCACGAAACACAAAGCAACGACGTGATACTAATGTTGAGGCGCACGAAGTTTCCCGAGTCACAAAAGTTTCCAATTTCCTAGGGACCAAAAAGATCAAAGAACGTGAAACATGGGGGTCCAATTGTGAGGGCTACGAAAAGTCAACAACCCAATGCCTAAGAAAAAGAGAGGAAAAAAGGAAGATGCAAATTCAAATGATGAATCAGCTAAAGATAAACATACAACAAAGCGATAAGAACAGGATCATTTTTTTGGGGAGGGATTGCGATAGGACAAAGGAATAATCAACGAATGAATATGAATGGGATCGACTTTTCCGATCTTTCTCGTTCAACCACGTTGACCATTTCTCATCATCCAATGGTCATCATCATCTTGACGAATTCATCGTAGTTGACCTGACCATCACCGTCCAAGTCCGCCTCTCTGATCATCTGCGCCACCTCCTCGTCCGTCAGCTTCTCCCCCAGATTTATCATTACATGCCGGAGCTGCACAAACCCAAGCACATAAGATTTTTTGTAACTTCTTTAAGTGAAAAATGAAAGATATTGATCTAAATTCGAAATGTCAACTGAAGTTGGAAAGCAAGGTTTGGGGAAATATAAGTCAGAGCCAATACTTTAGTGGGTATTTTTCTTCCGTACAATGTCTGTTCATTGCACTGGGACAAAGCGAAGGAGATTGATGTGGGGTTTATATATAGTTTATGCATGGACTGCTCCATAAAGTCAACAAAAAAGAAATTGAAAGCTGGCCTCATTAACATGTCCATATGCAAGGTTCCCAAACTTCGGAGCAATTGCACTTCCTCTTCTTCCATTCATATATTTTTTGAGATAATTGCAAAACCCGTTTTCCACTTTGCTCTTCGTTACAAGTACCATCCTCACGTCTCGAAACCTAGATTTTGCATCTCCTCGACGACTTTATTTGCCCTCATGCATGCCCCAGATTTATACCCGAAAAATGAAATCCGACATTGAAGATGGTGGGGGCAATTTGTGAATAAAATGCAACTTGGTGAATTATGTTGTGATTCAGAGAGGCAACTTGAAATCCAACAAAAGAATTGAGGGTGGAAATTGTAGTTTGAAACGCGAGGAGAGTATTCGATATGGAGAGGGTGATATTTGTAATTTTCCATTTTTTTCTTTTTGAAAAGTAGAAGTATATTAATAGATAGATTGGCGATTAAACATAGGGCATCGTGGGGTAGCACATATATACCGTAGATCTAAAGTTGATGCCCGTCCAATTATGCAAGACTCATACGAACCGTTCCATTTGGTATTGTTCATCATCTTATGTGAGGCCCATCGAATCAATGACTCGTGCGAATTTAGGGAATATGTATCTATCTACCTAACAATTGTCCAATTGCGAAAGTTGCTATCAACATGGAAACTAAAGAGGAACCCTGTTCAAAATTTATTTTCCTGAAGGCATTTAAAAGAAAACAATACGCTATAATTTCTTCACAGGGTCATGTAATCAAAGACGTTAACGTCGTGTAATCGAGGTGTATTCACCGCAATACGTAACCGACGTATTAAACAATGACTAACTAGCTTCTCCCTGCTGGCGTGCTGCATTGAATATAGAATTTCATGCGTCTACTCACTGCAGCATGCCAAATCTTGCAACTAATCAATTAACATGAAACCCCTCACATTTTACGCGCATCTGTGACTAATCTTTGCTTGCTATCGCAGACTAGTCGAGTGGCCCGAACATCGGATAATCATAGTATAATGTTGGTAACTCCTCGATTAATTGCATAAGCCGAATACGGGGATGATGAATCGATTGCTACGTACCTCGCTCTCTGATATGTATCCATTCTGGTCCTTGTCGAACACTTTGAAAGCCTCTTTCAGTTCCTCCTCTGCATCCGTTTCCTGGTCACGAACCATGCAATGTCATTTGAACTGAACATAAAGAAAAGCAGAGCGAACCGAAAATGAAAGAGAGGCAGCAGTTTGGTTACCTTCATTTTGTTGGCCATCAAGTTCAAGAACTCGGCGAATTCGATCGTGCCATTCCCGTCCGCATCGACTTCGTTGATCATGTCCTGAAGCTCTTTCTCTGTTGGGTTCTGATCCAACGACCGTATGACCGTCGCTAGTTCTTCGAGAGTAATGCAACCTGCAAAGTGCAAGCCAGGAAAAAGGCATGACATTGAATCCTAGCTTTTCTTGGAGAACAAGTGAATTTCTCCATGAAAGAATGGACAAGAAAGTAAGAAAAAGAGACTGACCATCGCCATCTTTGTCGAATAGAGTGAAAGCTTCCTTGAACTCAACTATCTGTTCTTGAGTGAGCATATCTGCCATGCCCTCTTCTTGGTTTTTGAGAGAGAGAAGATAGAGAAGAGAGAGAGAGAGCGAGGGGGTTGGTGTTTGAGCATGTGTAATGTGCAGCTCAATCTTAGCTGGGCTTATGTAGACTTCCAAGATTGAGAAGTTCGGGGGAGCATTAAGTTTCTGCAAAAAGAAAAATTAATAATACTAGTCAAATTAAAGTTATGACTAAACTTTTGGGTTCTCATGGTCATGGCCTTTGCAGAGAAGAATCAAATCAAATCAAATCAAATGCTCTCTCTCTCTCTCTCTCTGTAGCCGTCTCAGACCATGACCATTCATGTTTCTCTAGATAGGCATGGACTTTTGGGGAAGATGCAACCGAAGTGACATAAACAAAGTCTCCACTTTTTTCTGTTGTCTCTTTTTATTTGCTTTCCGCTTGGTGGTGTGAAAAGATTAACGATTAGACTAACCAAAATGACAGCTGTTAGGTTTTGGTGTCTAGGGGACAAAACAAGAAGTTGAGACTTTGAGAGCATTCAAAAAGACAGAGAGAGAGAGGGTATTGGGAGGCGTGTACTTTGTTTCCACAATATGACTTTTCTTTTTCTCGGCTTCTACCCAACCCCAGTTAGCACGCTGCGTTGCTTGCACGAGGGTTTCTTTTGTTGAAGCGGACTTTGCAACATCCATCGCATTCGCTATAGTTTGAAGTCGGACGATGTCCCTGAGCTTTTAAGGCCGAAGACGAAGTCTAAGATGCATATTAGTCGTTGCACACATAAAGGTGTGTACATGTTCTTTTAGCCAAAAGGGTTTTTGCCGTTGAACGACTCTAGACATTGTCCACCTTCAAGACATTGCCTGAAAGTTCACCTCACGTAATATGGGGCTGTCCAAAAATCCCAAGCTCGTGTGTAATGGTGCACCTCAAATTTTTGCGTGGCAAGGGTAGTGAAAAGCACATGATTTGGGAAATAATTAAGAAAAAAATGCATATAATTCTCTTAAGTTTTTGCATAACACTATGTGCAGACTCTGGTTTTAAATTTGCCTCGTTCATGTCCTTGAACATGTTGCGGAATGCAAGTGATCGAACAATAAGATATATAAAATAAAAAATAAATCAGGTATCAAATTACGTGATTCGATCAGTGTGACTTATGTCCATAGGGAAGTGGCATAAAATTCCACTATAAATTAAGCTACACATCGGAAATTACAATTACACTTAAGTCGTTCAAACACTTCTAGCTTCAATGTATAATTCACGAAAAAGTCACCTCTTGAATGCTTTACACAACATACACTTTTTAGATATAAACAAAAGGTGGATCCAAAATAGGAAATCCTTTTTAGAAATCCTACTCCAGCTACGAAACCACTCATATAGAAACCTACTTGAAATAGGGAAGTTTCCTTTTTGCACTTAATCTCAAGACATATTTTTAATAATCTCCACATTGGCTAGACATTACAATCACACTTGAGTCGTTCAAACACTTCTAGCTTCAAGGTATAATTCACGAAAAAGTCACCTCTTGAATCTACACAACATACACTTTTTAGATATAAACAAAAAGTGGATCCAAAATAGGAAATCCTTTTTAGAAATCCTACTTCAGCGAGGAAATCACTCAAATAGAAACCTACTTGAAATAGGGAAGTTTCCTTTTTTGCACAAAATCTCAAGACATATTTTTAATAATCTCCACATGGGCTCGACATTTGAGCCAAGTCACAATCACTTCATTGGAATCTAAATTTTGCCGCTACTCTTCTATGGCCACTCATGGACTCAACCGGCACATATATCTTCCAAGTCTAAGCCACACTTGAATTTTGCTATAACCGTGGATCTTCTTAGAACTCCAACTCCGCTTGCACTTTTAGCTACTCCATAAGAATTTTCAGACACAACCTCACTTACCGCAGATAAATCAAAATTGTCGTTGCATTCATATTTGTCAGGAGACTGAACATGCACCTTGTCAAACTCAACAACTCTATAGCAACCGTTGACTCTACAAGCACCACCACACTATAAGCACTAATTGTATCGAATATCGTGCTAGTAACCACTACCTCATGAGTTTTTTTATTGTAACTCTACCAGTGGAACAAAGTCCAAATTCATATAAACATTACCATAATCACTCCTACTAAAAAAAGTACTAGAGACTCGTCAAATGTAACTTCTCTATTAATAATATGTGAATTTAATACTAGGAACCACGACTGATGGTCGTGCCCACCTTGTGCATAATCTAGGAATATGTACTTTCTTGCCATCCCATCGAACTTATCATCATTCACTCAAGAATAACACAGACAACAAAATATTCTAAAAACTAAATAATTAGTAATGTTACCTTATTACACTTCTTCGGGAGTCCAACATCCAATCGCAATCGATGGATATATATTCACCAGGTAACTTACTGTACTAAGTACATTTGTCAGAAATTTCCTAACCATACCGACACTCAAGAACATTTAATGGGTCGCCTCTAATAATATTCTACTCATCAACTTTACAACCTAATTATGATTCACTAGCACTAGTGTGATGTATCATAATGCCTTCCTTCGTGCAAATATCGTTTATTAGCTTTGAGCAAAACTCCATGCCACCATTAGTTCGCGCATGCTTGATCGTCTTACTAGTCTTCATGCTACCGTCAGGTTGGCACTATTCATGCTAACACGAATACTAATTCTTCCTTTACCTACGCCTACTAAATCAGTAGGCGCAAGTTCACTAGGTTCTTTCATACTGATGTATTCACTCAAAATCAAATCACGAACCTCATCAAATGTGATCCAAATGAATTACTAACAACAGTAACAATATTATTCCAACTATCAGGCGATGAGAATAATAAAATCAAAGCAAGTACCTTATCATCAGAGTTAATCTCAATTGAACTCAAATACCTAATGACCACATTGAATTCATTGATATGCTCAACCGACGCACATTTGCCTATATTTAAGTGAAATAGACATTGCATCAAGTATACCTTGTTGATCGTAGAAGGCTTTTCATACATGTTTAACATGGCATGGCATTCATTAGTCATACATTTTCTTTTTCACAATATTAAACGCAACGTTACAAGACAATGTCAGCCCAATAACACCCAGCTCTTGTTTATCTAGCAATTCCCATTCATTGACTCTGGTTTCTTCCTAAACGGGTAGGTGCAAATTTCTCTGGTACAGATAAACCTCAATCAGCGTCTTCTAGAAATCACAATCCTTCCTATCAAATCCGTCAATTTTACTTTTCCTTCTTTCATCGCTATCAATTTGCTTCAACTCAACCGAGCTTAACTCTGATACTAATTGCTGAGGAAAACTATTGATCGAACAATAAAATAAATAGAATAAAGAAATAAATTGAATACTAGATTTACGTGTTTTGATCGGTGTAACCTATGTCCATGGGAGAGCAGTGCAGATTTTCACTATAGATTAAGAAATATAATGGATATTAGAACCGCATTCAAGTCACTTAAACCCTCTTGGTGTTTCCCAGCACCCAAGTACACCCAACAATTAACATAGTGTTTAGTCTTCACAATTTATTACTAAATATTCTCCCAATTTCACAAAGGAATTCACCAATCTTACCACAAGATTTATTGGTTTCAGCACTCTCTTATTATTTTAGGTGTAATTCATGAAGAAGTCGCCTCTTAAATGCTCTTTACAACAAGACATTTCTTATATACAAACAAGAGTTAGATCCAAAATAGCAAATCTCTTTTAGGAATCCTACTACAATTAGGAAACCACTCAAATAGGAAACCTACTTAAAATAGTAAAGTTTTTTTTTCGGGCTCAAATTTAAGACATATTCTCAATAGAGCAAATCCCATGATTTGCCTCCTGAGAAAAATCCCAATATTCCAAAACCGACCACGGGCCCTATTCGCTTAGTCATTTACGAAGCATTAATCTCCTTGAGACTCACCGTCACTCTATGATTGGTGACTGGTGATTGTCAAATCAAATTTGGTGCTTCGTTCAAAAGTAAGAACACAAATACATATTTCTTAAAACAGAGGATGCAAAGTAATTTCGTGATGAAAACTCATATGACCTTATGAATTTTCCCATGAAGTTACAGTGTACCCAGATGCCTACCAAACTAGGACTTTGCTTGTGATAATGAGCTCTAGGATGGTGCATACATCTATCAATGCTCGAGATATCATCTCTCCAAAATATCATGCATCTTCTTTGATTGACAAAGTCATTGGCGGGTACTCTATGAATTTGGGATATTTTTCAATCTAGGTGGGCCGAGTCAAAAAGGGGAAAAGACAATCTATCAGCAACGTGTCTCTTCTTGTAAGATATTAGCAAGAGATGGTGGACATAATTACGAACATAAAGAGCAAAAAAGCGAAACGTCGACGATGCATGTAAAAGAGGTTTTAGCCTTTCGCAAGTAGTGGAGTTAGAAATCTTCAAAAATTTGACTTGTGTCGGACTTGAAAATGGCAATGGAACTTGTCGTGTTGGAGAAATTAACAGCGTTCACATATCCACCAAAGAAAGTGGGGCAACCCAGTCGAAAACAAAAGGCTTCTCTCTTTCTCTCTTTTCTTTTGTCTTTGGCTTTTTCCTTTTCGCATTGTCATGGTGATCAACTCTTGATCACGAGAAAACATGGAACAGAGATTCATAATTGAGTTCGTTCCAGTTATGTCAAAATCACCTTTCGCTGACTATGATGGAACTGTTGTGAAAGCAGAATTGATTTACGTTTGATTATCGAGTGGTTATGTTGCTGTTTGTTTGTGCTAAAGACCATAATTCTATTCTCGATATGTGCAAGAGTATTATTTTATTTTTTTAAAGACGCGTTGAACTGAATCAGAAATGATTTAACCTGAGAATGGAGTTGAACGGTTTGAGATGGTTCCCCAATAAAACCAATGGTTGTAGCCTTGAAACTGGAAATGGAAGTGATCCTATGCCGGTTCTAAGTTCGTGGAGCTAGGTAATACACTGGTTCTCCTTAGAAGCGGACTTGCACCGATCGGTTTAGAAGCGGACTTGC